AAAGTGACATCCACTTGGGCGTTCCCGAACTGATGGGACATACGCACTGAACAGACAGTGGGTGCTAACTGAAGGTATTTAGCGCGGCATCGAAGGGCCTGGCATTGATGCTCGTGGGATATGGGAACATTACAGTAACATTACTAACTTGCCATTCATATTAGTAGTCCGGGCGGTCTTGGTGCGCTTGGCATTATGTACTGGAAAAGTATCGCTTGTTGTGTAGTGGAGTGCGCGCTGTTTGTGATAGCAGCTCTAGATACTCTTAGTAGTGTCTGAAGCCAGCGGGTAGTACTCGTGGTCAAGCAGTGTAATAGATACACGTCACGATTCGAAGGATCCAGAGAAAGTGAATATGGTTATCGGCCTGCTCAATACTCCCTAGCAAGAGCGATGTTCATGAGGCCTTGAGAGCGAGTGGCTGCTGCAGAAAATTGAATTTATTTAGCTAGCTTCACGTGCTTTGGCCTCTCACAGAAGCTAAAATTCATTTACGGGGATTTTTCTGCATTTTCCCTAGACAAAGATTTCGATAAGTGAACGGTAAGAGGAGCAAACCGGACTTCCCGAGTCGGAATCGGAAAAGGGGAGCGATAGATTATTAGGAAAAATAAGTACGGATAACAACTGTAAGGTCTTAGTATTTTTGATAATTTCAGGCATTTCCGAATTTGAGGAAAAATTCGCATTAAGACTGTTAGCAGCTGTCGAAGTGTTGTCGCTGTTACTATCTCTGTTGTCACTAGGAGAGTCAGTGCTAATACGAAATTTAAGGCAACGCACGGGCAACCGCGTTTGCTTTTGCATACAGATCTCACACTAAATGTAAAATATTTACTGCATGTTTATTTACGTATGCTTAAAAAACTTATTTCTATAAAAGATGCGTCTATATTAACAACAGGCAGTCTTTTTTATGGTTTGGTGCTGTATAACAGCAGTTCAAAACGCAAATTGTCACGGAGTTGTCTGTGTGTGTTTCGGTGTGTGTCCGCAGCAACTTCGCCGTAACCTTCAACTTGGGAACCACAAGAGCTAGTAAACTGAAAATTTGGGGGAACGTTACGCACTCATGTGTGACTCCGTAAATTTAAATTCAGTCTCCCCGTGCCCGCGGGTAACGCTTGCGGCCCCGTAAAAGTTTGGGCGGGAAAAATTATTATCACGGGGACCACGGAAGCTAGAAGGCTGAAATTTTGCAGGTGTGTCCCCTGCCCACACGCGACCCAGAAAATTTAAATTCAGCCTTCTCCTGCCCGCGGGTAACACAACCGCCCCGTGAAAATTTTGTCGGGTAAATTATTATCTCGGGAACCACTGAATATATGAAGCTGAAATTTTAGTGTAATAACCCCTGCCCACGGTTGACCTTGCCCATCCAAATTCAGTTTTCCCGCGCTTTTAGGTACCACCTGCGGACCCGTGAAAGTTTTGGCGGATAAACTGTTATCTTGAGAACCAAGGAATCCAGGAAGCTGAGATCTTATAGGTATGTTCCTTACCCTCGCGTAACCTAGAAAATTTAAATTCAGTCTTTCCGTTCCAGCAGGTAAAATATATGGCCCCTTGCAACTTTCGGTGTGTAAATTATTATCTCGAGATCCACAAAAGCCAGAAGCTAAATTTTGTGGCAATGTCTTCTGTCCACATACAACTGCAATTTTAAGCGCGTCGGAGTATCACTTACTGCTCAGTGAAAGTTTCGGCGGGACAGTGAAAATCATTAGCAGGTAATCTTTCGGTGAACGGAACTGCATAAAACGCGTGATCACGCCGGCTGCCCTGGTGCACGCTGCTATTTATTTTTTGTTATGCTTCAAGTCGCATTGTTTTCATTCCCGCCTCTTTTTTTAATATTTATCATTTACATCTTGACATTCAGGAAATTAGCCCCTCAAAATATACTTTTTTTACACTACTTTTTATACATATCAGCAGTTCCAGTGATACAGGGCCTAGTCGGCCGAAACATTCCTGCTCATCTCATAATTTTTAATATATTTTCAAAAAAAAATTTTTTTAAAGCGCCACTGTTACTTCCTTACTACTTTTATAATATCGTGCCTGCGTGGCATCGTAAGCTGCTGGCTGATAGCTCACTTGTTCTCGCTGACTGCCAGAAATTTCTCTGTTTGTAAAAGCAGGAGGCGTGGGCTTCAGTGCTGCCGAATCAAGCAGGTTTCTCTGCACTTGTGACTGCGTTGACGGAGCTCCCAGTGGCCTTTGCAGAGTTGCCATGAATAAGTTGTCTGGCTCCGCAGAAAAATCAGGAGCAGAGCTGTGAACTCGCGGGTTTTGTTCAGGTAGCTGCAGAGCATTTGGTTTTCTTGAATAAGTATTGCTCTCTTCATTTTTTGGGTAATTTTGAATTGCCTGTGGATGGTAAGACCCTGAAAGACAATTGGTCATGTAATCCTGCAGTGCAAATGGATATGGCTCAGGATTGTTAACTGGTCGCAGAGCTGGACGTGATGCTTGATAATATGCAGGATTCTGGGAGACAAAACTAGCTTGTCCTGTAGCACTTGTTTGTAACGGATTCCCGAAATACATATAGTCGATAGGATTTTCCGGTTGAGCATAGCGGTTATCTGGC